GCCGGGCCCGGAGCTGCAGGATGGCGGCGGCGGCGGCGGCGGCTGGGGTCTCGGCGGCGGCCTCGGCGGCGGGCGGCGGGTCGGTTAGCGGCGCGCGGGGTGCCGGGGCGCGGGAGGGCGCGCGGGTGGCGGCGCTATGCCTGCTGTGGTACGCGCTGAGCGCGGGCGGGAACGTGGTGAACAAGATCATCCTGAGCGGCTTCCCCTTTCCCGTGACCGTGTCGCTGTGCCACATCCTGGCGCTGTGCGCGGGGCTCCCGCCGCTGCTGCGGGCCTGGCGCATCCCGCCCGCTCGCGGCCCGGGGCCCGGCTCCGGCCCTGGCGCTGCCGCGGGCGCCGACCCGCTGCCGCCCCGCTTCTACCCGCGCTACGTGCTCCCGCTCGCCTTCGGCAAGTACTTCGCTTCCGTGTCGGCTCATTTCAGCATCTGGAAGGTACCCGTATCCTACGCGCACACCGGTGAGGCCCGAGCGGGGCCCGGGGGGTGACCGGAGCCCGGGGATTGTAGTAGGGCTGGGGGAGGGGCTGAGAGAAGACCGGAGGCCGAGCGAGCAAAGGCCCCGGGCCGAGGAGACGCAGGGGGAGGCCAGCGGGACGCCCGGGGGATCTGGAGGGGCTGGGTATCCCGAACACTGGAGAGCTAAAGGGATGGCCGGGAGCCGAGCGAATTGGGTGGGACGCGAAATGAGGGCCAGACCGGGAGCTGAGGGAGACCAGAGGGGCTCTGGAGACTAAAGAGTTAAGGGGGGGAGGGAGAATCTCCCAGAGACCCAGAAACTGGGGGGCCTGGAGAGGAAAGCCACAGAGACCCGGGGAAGGAGCTTGCTAATAAGGAAGTGGAGGGTGGAGAATAGATGAGGGGATGGGAGGGTATGGGAGATTATGGGGAGATGAAACTGGGAGGCTGAGCAGTGAAGTGGAACAAGGAGTGAGTGTAAAAAGTCAGGGCAGAGACAATTCCATTTTTGTTACTGTAGCCTTGGTTCTAGACCAGGTAGTGGCTATTTCCCAAATGATTGAAATGGAAGGGGGCTTCTTTGGCCCTAGTGGGGAGCTGAGAACAGGAAGCTGAACTGAGGGACTGGGACCTTAAAGTCTAGAGGTGAGATTCAGAAGGGGCTCTGGAATGCCCTCTCCTCTGGGGCAGGATGGGGAGAGTGACTAATCCACCGAGCAGATGGGGTCTGGGAGGTTTGAGGAACTTAGAAGGTAGAAATATAGGGAGGGGGCCTAAGAGTCAGGAAAGTAGAGAATGGGTGGCAAGCAATCGTATTGGGCTGAGCTGACTTGAGGCATAGGAGAGACTGATTGGGACTTCATTTAGGGAACTGTAGGGCAGAGAAGACAGGGCTAGGTGGTTAAACAGGAGGGAAGTCTGATGGAAGAGACCCTGAAGGGTATATGGAAAGAGGCGCTAGCTCATGGGTCATTCTAACACATCAACTGTCTATCTGTTAAAATACCTAAGCTCACCTCATCCCCCATCCTCCAAACTCCTTCCATTGTAGTGAAGGCAACCATGCCAATCTGGGTGGTGCTGCTGTCCCGGATCATCATGAAGGAGAAGCAGAGCACCAAGGTAAAATGGACAATTACTGGGCACTTAGACATGGCAGCGTGGGACAGCCCAAACAGCACTAGTCTAGAGCCAGTGACTGTGGAGATTCCCCACTAAGTTTGTGGTGTGACTTTTTGAAAGTAACTTCCCCACTCTGGGTCTGTTTCCTTTTGTCAAAGGAGGGTCATTTGACAGACAAGATGGTCTCCCATTGTCCTTCCAGCTCAGGCTTCTCAGTTTCTGAGTAGGAGCTGTACTGCCGGAACTTGGCACCAAACCTTCCCACACGCTCCCTTCCCCTCCCTGCAAGTTTTCAATTGGTTACATAGATGAGAGAACCAAACAGGTAATTTCAAGGAACCAGGAATAAGTTCCTAGTCTGCTGGAAGCCCAGATTTCTCCTTTGTGTAAAATCCAGGAGCTCTGTAGAAGTTGAAACAGAGCTTCGATTATTGTCTTTTGAGTATCTTGCGTCCCCCTGAAAATAACATTTCCCCTAACCAGTAACCCCAAGAGCACATGGCTGAACAAATAAGTTCTTCTGGCCCTGTCAACGGTAATATTTAAAGGACTGAAGTACCATCCCATGTACTGCAGCGTCCTTATCTGAAAGCTGAGAATTTATCGTGGTGGCACTGACAGATTCAGAGGTTTTGAAAAAGCAGTGGTTTGTAACGTGTACTCTATGCAGCTCACAGTCAGACGGTGCTCTAGATCCTAGCCCATTTCACAGGAGATTAGGTCACCTTTGGCTGATTTCTTATGAATCTCTGCTCACTTAAAACTGCAGTCTGTGTGTAAGAATTTACTTTGTCACATTCCCTCTCGAGGGCTGTCTTCTGCCTTTTCTCGTAATCCACTGTGTCCAGCGCATAGTAGTAGCAGTAGTAACTTAGTAAACCTTGATTGATTCTTTTAGCCGTAAAGCCACATCACTCAGTATTGCATAGATTAACAGATTGCTGGTGTTGTGAGGGACCTTAGAGGTCACAAAACAGATAGTCTGAGAGTAGGGCAGATGAGGATCATCAGAGGTCATCCAGCCTTTATGGGGTTAGCCCACTATCTCCTCTGAGGTGGCTCATTCCGCTTAGAGTTAAAGGAAATCTGGTTTAATGGATTTAGTTTACAGAGGAAGACACTGAGGACCAGGGTCACACAGCTAGTTCACGATGGAGTTGAGCCTTGGGTCCCTGTATTCCTAGCTTAATGTTCTTCACTGTACATTATAATCTAACATTGCATAGGACCTTGTACCTGGACACGTGAGGGAGTTTAAACTTCCTTGCACGGAAAGGAAAGAGTGGGACAGCTCTTCTTGAGAGAGTCCACAGATTCTACTGAGGAACTCGGGGCCCCTGCTTCTAAGTAAAGAGTGCTAAATGTCTACCATGTAAAACATCAACAGCCTCATCCACCAGGAATCTACACTCCTAGGAAATGTTCCAAAGCTCCCAGTGTGACAGAAAAGCCCTATTTCTGTGGAAGTTTAAGAAGATTCTCCATGCGGTTGCTTTAGACAACTGCTGTCCTTACTAGAGAGAAGCAGTTTTTGGGTACCTACGTGGTGCAGTGGATAGAGCTCTGGGCCTACAATCAAGAAGACCTCACGTTCAGATCCAGCTTCGTAAACTTATCTGTGTTACCCTGGGCAACACTTAACTACCTTTTGCCTCAGTTTCCCACATCTGTAAAATGGAGATTAAAAATAGCATCTAGCTCATAGGATTATTGTAAGGATCAAATGAGATAATATTTGTAAAGTGCCTGGCATGTAGTAGGCACTTAATGAATATGTTAGTTATTATTATCATTATAGACAGGCATTCTTGAATTGTTTTCAAAATCATTGTATGACAGGAATAGAGTATGATATCTAGATTAGTTACTGAGAGATGTGAGAGCTCATCAATTCCTTTTAAGAAAATAACCTTTTCTGAGAAGGGATTTTAAAATCCTGGAGCATTAGACTTAACAAGATTGACTCATTTGTGTTTTCCTCTGGCTCTGTTTTGCCGTTGGTTACTTTTAGCTGAAAGTGAAGTGGGGAGGTGGGGAGGACAATATGGGAAGAATTTCATTTGGAGTATACACTCCCTTGGTCACAGGTCAGTGGTAGTTAGATTTATCCTATGTATAACAGCATGGCTACTAAAGCGCCTTCTTCATTCTTCCTCTTCCAGGTATATTTATCCTTGATCCCCATCATCAGTGGTGTCTTGTTGGCCACAGTCACTGAGTTATCCTTTGATATGTGGGGGCTCATCAGTGCTCTGGCAGCGACCCTCTGCTTTTCCCTGCAGAACATATTCTCCAAAAAGGTATTCATTCAGTCACTGGCAGTGTGATGGATTTCCCAAGGATGGAAAAAGTCTTACTGATTTGAGGTGTTTTTGTTTTTGTTTTTTTAAACATAGCTGGATGTGGTAGAAAGGGCACTAGGCAGTATAGGTAAAAAGACAGAGATGATGGTTTGCCTCATTCTGCTTCTGTGTTCCTGGGTGAATTAGTATACCTCTAAACGTCAACTTTCTAACTTACAAAAAAGTGATGATTGTTGCTCTTGTCAAGATCAAAGGAAATAGTGTATGGGAAAGTGTCTTCTCCATTGTAAAGTGCTCTATTAATGTAAGTTTCTGTTACTTATTATTGTTGATAATATTCAAAATGATAAACCTTTAAATTTAGCAGATATTAAGCATTACTAGGTAATGCTTAATACCCAGGTACTGGGTACTGGAGGAAATACCAAAATAATAATAATAAGAAGAAAATATGACCCCTCTTCTTACAAAGTTTACAGTCTTCAAAACAGGTCTTTTTTCCTTTGCCAAAAGTCTGTTATCTATTAGTGTAGCAAGTTAAGCTGTTAATGCAAAGAGGCAGTATTTTAAAGTGGAGAATACTAAACTTGTCAACTAAGAACTGGGCTGCATGGCAGCTTTGACACTTTGACAGTGTTGTGTGACCCTGAATAAGGCTATTTAAGTATGAACTTTGCTGTCCTCATCTTTGAAAACAGAGATAATAATAATATTTTCACAGAGTTTTGTGAGTCAAGTGTGTTGTGATCTCTAAAATGCTATGAAGCAGGGATTCTTATACTTTTTTTGTGTCATGGATAGATGAACTCCTTTGACAATTGGTCAGAGCCTCTGGACACTTTCTCAGAATCGTCTTTTTAAATATGTGATATAAAATACATAGGAAACCAATTATATTGTCATACAGTTATCAGAATATAAAAAATTAAACATAACAAAAAACTAAGTTCACTTACTCTGGGTTAAGAATACCTGTATTGGGGTGGCTGGGTGGCTCAGTGGATAGAGCACCAGCCCTGGAGTCAGGAGGACCTGAGTTCACATGCGGCCTCAGACACTGGACAGGCTGTGTGACCCTGGGCAAGTCATGTAACCCCAATTGCCTCACCAAAAAGCAAAGAAAAAAAAAGAGAATACTTGTGTTGCTATTAATTACCTAAGGTATCATACTTGCATGTGAAATTATTCATTCAGAAAACATTAAGTGTCTCTTTATTTTAACATCACGTAATACTTTGTATATGTTTTAGTAGTTTTATTAGAGAGGTATCATGGGATTGTTCATAGAGTGTTAGATTGTGTGGTTTGTCCTTCATTCTGGAAGAGGACCATGACATCATGAAAAAGATGCTGTGACTTGCAAGTGAATTTGTTTTAACTTAGGGAGGGCTATGCAAAGTTGCCAGCCTCACTTTCTCCTCCAGATCCATTTGGATCCAGTGGCCAAATATATATCAGGACAACTGGAGATGGCCCAGGATGAAGTGGGAAACCTTGGTCTTTTTAAGCTAAGGTCTCTCCGAGTTCTCACTTTGACTGAGGCAACTGCCCATTCAGTGATTTGGGCTGTTTAAGAAGTGAGTCTTGGGATGGCCTCTTTAATCAAAAAAAAAACAAAAAACCAAAAACCAAACTGGGAGGGGAAGACCTGCTGGGTTTCTGGCCAAAAGAAACACAATTACTATTTACATTCACTCTGACTCATGGGGCCCAAACAATAACCATTAAGTGTTGTTGGGATAGGGACCTGTTGTTGGCCAATCAATGAGAGCCAGAGTGAATTTGGGTTTAAGGCATGATCTTTAAGAAAGAAATCTAGCCAGTAAACCCCAAGATATCTACATAGCTTTCAGTCTTCAAAATTTACCTTCCTTTTCACAGAGCACCCTAAGGTAAGAGCATGACACAAGAGAAGGAGAGGAGAGGAGTTGGCCAACGGGAACTGACCAATTGGGTCCCCAGTAGGGCAGCATAGACTGCTCACAGGTTGTGGTTTCTCTTTTGTTCTTGAAGGGGACCATGACATCAAGAACATGATGCTATGACGTGCAAGTGAATTGGTTTTAAGTGTGGGAGGGCTGTGCAAAGTCACTAGCCTCACTCTCTTCAGGGCCATCTGGGTCCAGTGGCCAGATATAGATCAGGACTACTGGAGATGGCCCCAGGGTGTTAGAAATAGAATCAGGAAGGCCTTTTTTTTTTTTTAAATCCTGCCTCAGATACTTGCCAGCTTTGTGACTGTAGGCAAATATCTTTAACTCTCTGAGCCTTATTTTTCTCATCTATAAGATAGAGTTATTACTAACCAGAGTACTTCACCTCTGTAAAAATACTGTAAAAATACATAGATGTGTGTTACCTCTTATTAGACTGTAAACTCCATGAAGGTAGTTTGCTTTATCTAGACTGAATCCTAGCGCAGCCTAGTACTTCAGGCATGGGATGATAATGTGATACGGCAGCTAAAAAAGCTCATTCAATCTGGAGCTTCATTAAAACACTTAAAACTTCATAATGAGGGAGATAACAAACCTGCTTTTATTTTCCCAAATCAGAACCTTTCTGGGGTGTTGTGTTCAGATCTAAAGACCTCATCTGAAAAATAACATTGACAAGTTTTACTGCAACCAGATTGGTCAGGGCGCTGAAAATCATACCAGAGGAGGATTAGTTGAAGGAACTGGTCATGTTTAATATGGTGTAGAGCTAACCTTAGGAGGTATATGGTAACTGCTCTTTTAAGTATTTGAAGGGCTGTCATGAATTGGATTTGTTCATCTTGGCAGAAGTGACAGCAGAAGTGGAAAGTCGTAGAGAAGCAGATACAGGTTTGATGTAAAGGAAGACTTACTCATGGTTAGAACTGCCCAGAGATGAAAGGGGTGGCTACAGTTGCTGGTGGTAGACTGTGGGTCCCCGATTCCTTGCATTCTGCTAGTGGAGTGTGGGTTACTACTTGGGTATACAATAAAGAGAATTCAGGGACATGTTAGAGTAGTTCTGAGGTTCCCTCCCACTCAACTCTCATTCTATGAATTAAAAAATTTTTACTTTGGAAAAGATTGGTCAGTTACTTAAAGAGTTTTGTATTTTCAGGTGCTGAGAGATTCAAGGATCCATCATCTTCGGTTGTTGAACATACTTGGATGTCATGCTGTCTTTTTTATGATCCCAACATGGGTTTTGGTTGACCTTTCTTCTTTCCTAGTAGAGAATGACCTGGTAAGTTGGCCAAAACAAAGAATCTGTTTTCCTTACTAGTTCCAAAGTAGATTTTGTGTTTTTGGAGTTATCACTTTTTGTTGAACTTTATAAAGTTTCTGGCATCTGATAAGTAGCCATCTTAACAAAGAGCTCTTTATTATGCTGAGTATTTCTGCACAGTTGAGAAGGAAATCAGCTTCTGTTCTTCCTCATGCTGTATGTTTGCTCGCCCCTACTGATAATACTGTTTTTCATTCAGTAGAAGAAGCCAAGAAGGGAATGGCCCTGCAGCTCCACATAGTATTGGCAAGCCTTTCTGGGAGACTACCCTTATCCTGAGAAATCTATTATTTCAGTTCTTTTTTTTGTTTTGTTTTTGTTTTGGTTTTTATTTTGTTTTTTTTTTGGTTAGGCAATGGGGTTAAGTGACTTGCCCAGGGTCACACAGCTAGTAAGTGTCAAGTATTAGTGAGGCCGGATTTGAACTCAGGTCCTCCTGACTTCAGGGCCGGTGCTCTATCCACTGCTCCATCAGCTGCCCCATTATATTTCAATTTCTTATTCAATTTGTTTGTGTTATCATCTTGTGTTTTCTTTTGTTGACATCATCATCATCATTATCTCTATTTACTCTTCTAATGAGAAAAGTAATGAAAGGGTGGAGTTCTGTTACCGTTTTCAGACATAGCTGCCAGGAAAGACTTTTTTTTGTCTTTATGAATATTTTTTTCCCCAATTACATATACAATTTTTAACATTTTTAAAATTTTGAGTTCTAAATTCTCTTCCCTTCCTTCACTCTCTCCCCCCTCCTTGAGACAATAAGCACTTTGATATAGATTATAGATATGCAATCATGCAAAACATATTTCCATATTAGTAATGTTGTGAAAGAAAACAGACAAAAAACAACCCACAAAAAATAAAGTGAAAAATAGTATGCTTCCATCTGCATTCAGACTCCATCAGTTTTTTCCTGTAGAGGTAGATGGCATTTTTCATCATAAGTCTTTTGGAATTGTCTTAGATCATTATATTGCTGAGGATAACTAAGTCATTCATAGTTGATCATTATACAACATTGCTGTCACTGTATATAATGTTCTTCTGGTTCTGCTCATCTTACTTTATATCAGTTCATGTAAATCTTTCCAGGTTTTTCTGAAATCATCATGCTCATCATTTCTTGCAGCACAGTAATATTACATTACAGTTATATACCCCAATTTATTCAGCCATTCCCCAATTGATGGGCATCCCCCTCACTTTCCAATTCTTTGCCACCACAAAAAAAGCTGCTATAAATATTTTTGTACAAACAGGTCCTTTCCCTTTTTTTTTTTACTCTCTGGGATACAGGCCTTGTAGCGCTATTGCTGGATCAAAGTGTATACACAGTATTATAGCCCTTTAGGCATAGTTGGGAAAGACTTTCTGAATTAAAGCAGACACCAAGTTGAGCTACTGAGTTTCTTTTCATTCTGCTTTTGTCTCTTTTTTGTCAGTTTTTCTTTCATTTCTCTCAATTTCCTCTTCCAACCTTGTGATTTTCTGTTTTCTTTCTTTCCCCCCCTGTACCTTTCTTTCTAGCTAGTCATACCTGTGATTCAAAAACATTTTTATCAGGTGCATTTATAGAGAGTTTACTTGTTATATAGCCATAGAATATCAGAACTATAAGGGACCTTGAATGCCATTTTCATCTCATTTCACAGATGATAAAATTTGTATATTTAGTCTTTCCCAGAGAGTTAGTGGCAGAACCAGTGTTTGAACCATGATCTCCAAGCTTCCTATTCAGATATGCCATGATGCTTTCATGAGAGACGGGGAAAATGGAGGCTGCTGCTAGCTATTCTTTAATCACATCTTCATCAAGACTTTACCTTAATTGGTATGATATTAATACCAACCACAACAACTGATGTTTAGTGCTTTAAAGTTTGCAAAATGTTCTCTCTCATTGTCTTAAGTAAACCTCAAAACAAAAACAGTCCTTTGACTTAGGTTTTGCAAATGCTAATCCACATTTTACTGATGAGGAAAATGAGGCTCAGGTTAAACAATATAGTCATGGTCATATAGCTAGCAAGGATCAGAGGCATGAATTGAATCCATATCTTCCTGACTCTATACTATACAGCTCTTCTGTTGTTTAAAGTGAATTCCTAGAACATTTTTAAATATAGCCACACTGACCTGTAAATTCAAAAGTGCATTCTAAAGCCAAATACAAATGGTAGTTTTTCTGTGATTTAAAATTTTCCTAGTCATCTCTACACTCAGTGCTAGCACACTACCCTACACATACCAAGTGTACAGTGACTATTTGAGGATTATTTGTGGATAGCTAAGACTCGACTATGAACTTTTATAGGCACCCACAAACATAAAGGTCATTTTTGAAATAAAGAAATAGAATAGAGAATCTGTGTGTTAATAGATACTACATACATGCCCAGAGAACGTAATATCAGGCTTGCTTATCTGGCTTTGTTCTATTTTTAAATTCTTTATCTTTTGGCTTTTGTTTTGTGATTGGGTACTTCATAGAGGAGGGTTGACTGTTTATTACCTTAGTCACTTCTTTGTAAGGAGACAAAAAGTTTTAATGAATTTATTAATAGGCTAATGGGAAAGTGATTCTGTCTGCAGAATTGTTGGCATCATAAGGAATATCTTACTTAATTGTCTCAGGGTGAACCACTGACTGATTTGAACAGTTTTTTTAGTTGAAGCCAACCTAGTATAGTAGAAAGTATGCTGGACTTGGACTGAGGAGACCCCAGTTCTTGTCTCAATTAGCTTTGTGACTGTGTGTTGAGTCGATAATTTGCCCTGTCTTGGCCTTGTTTCCTTATTTTTTAAATGAGAGAATTAGAGTAAGTGATATCAAGGGTCCTATCTGATTCTTATGCTGTGATCCTACTGTGTTGATTTGGGAGGCTGCGTGGAGAGAAGAGCTGAGTTTCCCTTGCCTCAAGCATTTACTGGCTGTGTTACCCTGGGCATATCACATAACCTCTCTGAACCTCAATCTTCTCATCTTTAAAAATGGAGATAATAGCATGTAGTTCAGGTTTGTTTTAAAGATCAAATGAGATAACTTATGTAAAGTGCTTTGCAAACCTTAAGGCAGTATATAAATGTTAGCATTGAGTTTGGGGTGCCTCACTTTAGCAGAGACTTTGACAGGGAGTGCTGCATGTAGGAGAAAGTGCTAAGTCTTTTAAAAGATGCGGTCTGGGATAGCTTGATGAAGAGCAGACTGAAGGGGCCATTATAGCCCTGAAAGTTGCACAAAGAAAATCACACTCTGAAGAACTTGATAAAGCAGTCCCCTAAAATTTTAAACCAAAGACAAGGTGCAGCCTCTGATCCAGGGAGTAGCCAGGCCTCTTTCCTCTCCATGCCACTATAATCCCAAATCTGGATGGAAATCATAAAAGGTCAGTGGAAGCCCTGAGAACAGGAACATGAAAACGAAAGCCTAGGGTTAGGGTGAAAGGTAGAGTGACACTCAAAAGGCACCAGAAGCCTCAACAACTAACTCTGCTCATACCCCAGGTCTGGTCCTTTGGTCACCCTCTTTAGATCTAATCGTCTTTGCTTCCTGAGATTTTTATTTCTCCTTGTTTGAAAACTCTTGAAGCCAGAGACCCATTCACACCTGCCCGTTCTGTCTTGAGCTGGGTAGCATTGTGTCCTTCATTTCTAAGATTTGTAGTTGTAGGTCCTTGTTATAAATCCAATGAAGGGTTTAAGACATAATTTAAAAAAAAGAACAGAGGAAAAAGGAAAATTTTCCTATCACTTCAACTTCTGTGTAAGTGAAATAAGCTGCCTTTTGAGAAGCCTGGATGGCGACTCTTCAGTATTGTTACAGAAAGGATTCTTGGTAGTTATTGCCTCTGAAGTCCTTTCCAATGCTGGGATTCTGTTCATGAAGATAGTAGGATCCATTACCGGGCATTTGTAATTATCCTTGTGGAGGATGTGAATTACTCAAAGTGGTTCTGCTGTAACAATATAGTGACTCTTCTGCCATCATCCATCTGGTCATTTCCCCTCCATAACCTAAATAGATGTTGAGAAGGGATCTCATAGGACATCTGTCCCTCAAAGTCTCCTTTGACTTAGCTGCTAGGACCCAGTCTCCATCTGCTCCTATGTTCAGATAATTAATGTCTGTACCAGGGGACAAGTACCTTAGATTTGTTGTCAGAACACTTGGGTTCCAGTGTGATGTCTGCCACCTAACCTTGCACAAGTTATCTTTTCCTCTAAATCTCATTTTCATCATTTGTAACATGGGATAATAGTATTTGTACTACCTAATCACTTGATAGGTCTAAAGGTTGAATAAGGTAATAGAAAGGTATTTATCACCCTAATGAGCTCTATATGTATAAGTTGTCAGTGCTTGCAGATGTTAGAGCACTTGCTTTTAACACTGTAACAATTTTGTTTTTCCACTGTGGATCAGGCTTATGATTTTGAAGTAACACAATGTTGTGGGTTTTTTATTTCCCTTTCTGTAGAATTCGATTTCCCAGTGGCCCTGGACTTTAATGCTGCTAATAGTCAGCGGATTTTGTAACTTTGCGCAGAACGTCATTGCTTTTAGTATTCTTAATTTGATCAGCCCATTGAGTTATTCTGTTGCAAATGCTACAAAAAGGATCATGGTTATCACAGTATCCCTCATAATGCTACGCAACCCAGTCACCAGCACTAATGTTCTGGGCATGATGACAGCTATCTTGGGGGTCTTCTTGTATAATAAGGTAAGTGTCTGTGTTAGGAATCCAGCTCGGGTTAGTCACCCATTAACATCAGCGTTCAGTAATTGTCTTTTAGTGCCTATGAAAAATAGGTTTAAGGATCTGGGGTTGTAAATGCTTCTTTAACACGCCCCTTGGTTGGAGGATTCAAGCGTCAAAAATTGAGAATTCATTCTTTTTTCTTGAGCAGCTGTGTTTAAATTGTCCGAGATAAGTGTATAGGGAGACCTTGTTCTGCAGCCCTCTCTCTGCTTTGGAAAAAATGACCAGATCGTTTGTTGTAGTTTGGTCCCTGGAGCCATCCATGATAAACTCTCTTTTTTGAGAATTGTGTACATGGGACTTTGTTGGTGTACGGAAAGCACAGTGAGGAAGCTTGTTCTGCCAATACAGAGAGGCAACTGGTACCTTAGAGACTTGCCTGGGGCCCTCAAGTTAAGGAACTTGCCTGAGGTCCCGTAGCTAAGATGATTTATAGTCTGGACTTGAACCTAAGTCTTCCTCACTCTGAGGCTCAGTTTCTCGCTCCATCTCAGAAAGGAACCCTTGAAATATTTAAAAACAGTGATCGTGTGCCTAGTCTTTTCTTTGGGCTAAGCATTCTTATTTCCTTAATTAGACCTCATACGTCATAGTCCCCCTTCTCTTTCTCTGTCCTAAATTCCACCAAGGTCCTTCCTCAGTGTGCTCAGAAATAGATTGTTCATTATCTGTTTGACCAATAATTGGGAATTTTAATAGCCAGGAAAAGAAAGTTAGACTGGTAGCTGTTTATTGAAAACAAGAGCTTGTCCTGGGCTGCTTAATGTTCATAAATCCTTCCACTATCTGCTTCTCTCTAAAAATACTAATTTGCTTGAATCTGTGAATAACCAAGCTTTTGGATTTGGTAATAAGCAGGCAGTATGTAAAAAAATGCTCAACGTTTCATCTAACTTTTTACTGTCCAGACCAAGTATGATGCAAATCAAGAGGCCAAGAAGCATCTTCTGCCCGTGGTAGTTGGAGACCTCGGAAATCCTGATCACCATCGAAACACACCAGAGAAATCTCAGAATGGAATTATTTTCCCTCAGCATGGGGACTATCACTATGGTCGAACCAGCATCTTCACAGATCACTTTCAGTACAACAGGCAAAATTATCCAAACACATACAGTTTAAATCACTATGATGTATAGAATTTAGAAGACAGGTAGAGACTGTTAAGAGATTATTTTTTCCCCCAAGCAGTATCAGAAACTTCTGTCACACCAGTGAATTCAGAATCATAGAATGTACTTCTCTTGCAGATGGGAAGGTGCATGATTGTCAATGATACAAGCGTTATCTTCCGCTAAACACATTCTTATGCATGGAGCACCTTCCATAGGGATCCCAGAGCAGGGAGTATACCTGCAGTGCAAAAGTTTGGGGTTCTGATGAAAGGTAAACTTTCAGACTCCAGGAGGGGGGATCTTTGCTGCCTATGTTGTCTTGGAGTTTGACACCGGAGGATTGTGTTGATAGGAAAATTATGGCCAGTATTACTTTTCTGTGCTTAATTTTCTGAAGCCATGTGTTTTTAAGTTAACATCTTTGCTTTCTGAATGAAGTTACTTGAGATCCTTTTTGACAGATTTAAATTTCTAGGTAGACTCTTAATGGGTTGGCATTCAGCTATTTGTGGTATCATGGGCAAGGATTGTGCCTGAGTTTTTAGAAACCAAAGTTTGCATTGCACTACTTGAACATGTCTGGGTCACAACTATAATATATGTGGTAAAGGGTTTGGTTGGTAGGAATTTGTGACCCCATTGTAATGGTTTCTATAGATTGTCAAAAAGGAGGGATTTTTTATTTAATCAAAGAAGGGTCAGTGCTAAAAGAATTTTATTAATGACTATGAGTAGTACTTCAAATATAAGGAAAAGCCAAGTAGTTTCCCAAGGCATTGTGACAATCCATTTGTGATCCTCAACAAATGTAAAAAAAACAAACTGTAAATCAGTAGACTGGTCTTTCCATCCTGTTTGCATTCTGGGCATGCATCATTTGTTTTCATTGCTGGGCATATTCAGCTTTCTTTGTTTGACCTGAAATTCTGAAGTTGCGCTGGCTCACATCCGTAGAAGGAAATTCATCTCCTTTTCCATTGCTGGAGAGAGCAGAATATTTTTCTCTCCTTGATGCATCAAGTGGTATCAGCAGCAAGGGGAGTATCATTGCAGATATTCCCTGATTAATAAAAGGCACATAAGGAAACAATAATTGGTGCTTTAAACAGCTCTTTCCCCAGGACTCATACTCTGTCATTCTCTGAGGTTGAATTGGGCGAAGATTTGGCAGAGAGATACTGCCAGATGAAGCTTTGTTTTTATAGGAAGGATTTTGCACTTTCTACAGATGATTTTGTAAATGTGTGTGTCTGCATACTGGGCCCTCTGACTCCCTCTTGAATCTAAAGCCCTTTGCTTTCAAGTGTTTCAAAACAATACTCTATTGATAGTAGCAAACGTTTGCCTAATACTTTTCTGTATACAGTAGGAACGAGTCACTTTGCAGTTTTGTGTCTGAGTACTGTAATCAGGGAAAAATAGAAAGGAATCAAGGATACTCTGCAAGTTTGTTTTGTTATTTCCAAATAGAAATGGTCGAGTTGTGTTGAATATGTTTTTTAATTACATTATTCAGAATCATGTTTCCCGAGTAGGATGAAAGGTTATTAGTTGAGCTTTGTGGTTTGGTTTGGTTTGGTTTGGTTTTTTATAAACACACAAATGAACAAAACATTTTGACCAGAATTAAGATGTTACCCCTTAGGCTCTGAGTAATGAAAACAACAGTAAAGCACCAATTTAAAGCATCTGACTTTTCCAAGGATTTAGTTCTACTACAGGTGTAAGTATGTTCTGTCCTGTTCTTTTCAGCTTCCTAATAATTACTGCATTTTGCAAAAGCCTGATAGCACATGATTAGGCCATGAGGTCAGTGATAATCCTGTCCCATGCCACTAGCCTTCTAAAGCAGTTCTGCTCTAGGCAATGAACTCTTAGCTCAAACCTTGGGATCTTAAGTGCTGGCTTCCTTGTGAAATACTGGTTGGATACCTCAGTGGATCCTCATTGATCTTATTGACATGTGCTACTATAGATTAGAGGTGTCAAACATGCAACCTGCAGGACCTTGCAGCCCACAGCACTCCTGAATGCACCTGATCCAGATTAAAATGTAATTGGGAAATACTTAACAAAATAAATAAAAATAAAATAAGACAGATAATAACACATTTTGAAACTATGTCACTATATGGCCCACAGGGATCCTTTTATATGGATTAGTGGCCATGTTTGTCTTTGAGTTTGACACCCCTGCTATAGATGATAACCGGTCTAGGCTTTCCTGTCTTGTGCCATTCTGGTCCATGTCCTTTCATAAAGGACTTACGTAATATGCTGATGGCCTTCCTTCCTCTAGATATTGAGGTATTTCATAGAGACCAGGGCAGCATTTGGGCTGATCATCTTTTAATCTTCTTTTTTGGTACATACTGAGTTCCACTACCTTTTCTGCTCAAACATGGGACAAAATGAGGTCTTCTCCTTGGAGGGAGATATACATTGTGGCAACCGTTGGCTCATTGACTTTGTCCTTCTTGCTTCTGTTAGACTAATGAAATAACTCAACTTCTTAAGTATTTTGCATGAAAATGAGCCAGTATTGTAACCAACATTTTAATCCGTTTTTTAAAGTTGCTACTTTTTTATAGTACGTATGGTAGTACATGAAATAAAATCAGTCAAAAGAAATAAATGATCAGCTTTGTAAGGTCCTATCACTGCTTATAATCCCCCTATCCCGGCTAGATTTTTGTATGCCACAGGTTTTAGAGCAACTTTTTGTGTGTGTGTGTGGCTCAGCCCTCTGCTTCTAAGCTTGAGTATAGTTAGTACCTAAAATCACAAGGCATGACATGGGAGAGATACAGAAAAGCACTTCCCAGATTTCTTTATGATGGGGGTTAGATCCTAAACATGGATTTTTCTTTTCTTTTTAGCAGCATTTGAGCAATACTGAGACATTTTTGCACATTCTAGTTAAGACAGCAAAAGTAGTGTTTCTGGCTTTTGCCATTTGATTTCTTGAACACAGTAATCCAACTCCAAAAAAAATCAGGTAAAAGGAAGTTTCTGATATTATTGCAGTTTGTATTAACTTAATTTTTCAATGCAGGATCTTATGTAGGTGAGGTGAAACAGTTGTTAAATACCATGTGTAAATTAATGAGTGGTCTCTAGCTCTGTGCATCAACTTGTAGCAGGTACGTACGCTGGAATGAAAAGACCTTAGGGGGACAGTCAAACAAAATGTTCCTCATCATCAAAGGAAAGAAGATAAATCTTTAAGATTGTAATGTTGCTCAGAGTACATACCTTTTAAGTAGAGCATTAGTTGTGTTAAGGCTCTCTGATAGTTTAAGATAATTTACTGTCTGTGTAATTTTCCATGAGGGAGGGGAAACTCCTATTACTGTAGGTGGTTAAGCCTCTATAGCTTTTCTAACCTGTCCTCATTTTGTTATGTATCTTGACACAGTCATAGAAGAAGACATTTGTTTGCCCTGGAAAATAACAAAGACATAGGACAATTATAATCTTCTTAGAGACAAACATTATTTATAAATACTTGAAAATTTGCAGGCCTGTTTCAATTATGTTGAACCTGTTTTCCAGACCAAAATGCTTTCAAATTGTGTGTGAAAGTGAATTTTTCCATGTTGTGTATGTTCACCAGTGGCATTTACCACAAAATAAAGAAGCCTCCAGAGGGAAAAAAGAAGAGTGTGTATTCGTTCAGCCTCCAGGATGAGCTCCTCCTGTGAGTGCTTTTTGAAATGATCTTGTTGCAAGATGCGCCTCTGCACTCAAAAAGACCAGCCAGATTGGACAAAATGAATGGTTTTCTTGTAGGACTCCACAGCAGAGTTCAGAGTATTAGGGATTGTGTTTGGGGAGGGTTTTGAAATAATCAAAACCAGTTAAGCATCAAGTAGCTTTTCACCCCAGGTGTTGCTTAAAGGTTTTGTGGGAAACTCCTTGGCACATTCATTTCCCAATTGGGGAATAGTGGTGTTGAATCTTAGGGCTTCTGACAGCTAAGTGGCATCATGACCCTGGGGACTCATTTTCCATAATAGGAATATGTCTTCTTTATTTAACTTTACACGTACAAAACACTGTCACATTTTCTCGTTTGGTATTCATTTTCTGAAATAGGCTAGGCACTTTCCTCTCTTCCATATGAGGACACAGTCTCATTAAAGGGAAGTAACTGATCTCACTTAACACCAGCTTTTTGGATTCCTCAGCACAATGTTCTTTTCGTGGCAAATTGTTTCCATTGGCATTACTAGGATTCCATTGTGTAGACAGGGACATTGAACTGAATGAAGCCAAAGAGTTAATTCATCCTTTGCCCAAATTTGAATCTGCCTTATTAGAAACATTCAGTTTTAATCTACTGAAAAACATGAGTGAGTATGCAATTTTTCTTTTATTTGAGGAGGCCTTCCTCTTCGTGTTACTGCTTTGTAAACCAGGAAGAATCATTTGTCTCTAGGGGGTTCTGGTGGGGAGATTACTTTTCTACCTGTCCCACTTTACCTTACATTTTTGCAGTAAAAACACATTTCATTAAGTACTTTCATCAGCCGCCTAGCCTTGTAAGGATTCTTGTTTTCACTTTGTACATGAAACAGGCTCAGGGAAGCTGTGATTTAACCTGAAGAAAGGTTGGGGTTTGAATCTTGTTCCTCTAAAGCCACTGAGTGTTCACTACACCACAGCCTCCCTTTTTAGAAATGAACTTTTCCCCTCCCCTTAAGGAAGCCCCAGGGTGTGGTAGAAAGAAGACTTGCTCTGAATGCAGTGTGGCATAGGGGAAGAGATCACTGCTTGATCACAGGCAGAAGTCTCCACTTCTGGATAGTCTTTGGGTTTCCTTATCTGCACAATGAGGGCTGGACTGGAGAGTCTTTGAAGTGCCTTCCAGCTGTTTTATGAGCCTGTGGTCTGGGTTAGATGTGGGGGCATAATAGCTGTCCTCAAGTGTTTGAAGGGACTTGATTTGTTCTACTCATTCCCTGAAGGCCTAACTAGTAGGTAGAAATTATATAGAGATGCTGGCTCAGGACAGTTCTGAACAATTAGAGCTGTGCAAAAATGGAATGGGTTGCCTCAGGAAGCAGTGGTTGACCAGTTAGATGATTATTTTTCTGTGAATTTCTCTTCAGGAATGGTGTGAATTGAATGATCCAAGCTCCCAAAGCTCCAAGCTTTGACCTGTAATTCTGAGCCTCTGCTTCACAGAGTAATTGTGAAAAACACTTTGTAGACATTAAAAGCCTTGAATACATGTAAATAGTTGTGTGTTAGCAAAATTGGAAAGAATTGAGATACTGGTTTATACTCTATAATAAACCAGCAACTCTTGACAGATTGTATAAAAAAAGGTTTAGGAAAAGGAAGTATGATCTAAGATCCCACAAGTTCAAAAATTATGTAGAATTGGAACAGGGCATAGTAAAACAACGTGAGTATCATATTATTCAAAGGAGTGAGTTTGGTAGTAACAAAACATAATAGGAAGTTCAGCATTTTTTGCCAGTTTTTGTTTTGTTTTTGTTTTAGCTGTTTTCTTAAACACCACCAGGAAACCCAAGGATATTTGCCATTTGTTTATCAGCCAGGGAAGCTCCTTCTTCCAAGTGAGAAAGCTTGTTTGACCAAGGTTATCAAGTTTGTTTAGGGTCTGTCTTGAAGAAGTGGGGCTTGGAGTTCCAGTTAGCTAATCTTGGCCAAGGGAATCTTTTTCAAATGCAGTGTGGTCAGTAAGACTACTAGCCTGAAGGGTTGGTTTAAATCCTTGCTCTACTACTAATTTGATGTATGAACTTAATAGTTCACATTGAGATGTAAATTTGTGATTAAAAACTTTAAATTCAACATTCTTAAGTGTTTACAATGTTGGTCACTTTAAGGTGCTTGATATACAAAGGCAAAAATGAGATTCCAGGCAGTTTATTCTACTAGGGCTATAGGTATATACAGATAAGTAAAAGTAATGTAGTTTGAAGCAGGAGAGACCACCTAAATGGGAAGATCTGTAAAGGCTCCATGTAAGATGTACATCCTGTGTGGAACCTTGAAACAGGGATTCCAAGAAACCGATGAGGATGGATGGACGGGGGACTACCGACATGTTGTAGTACAGTAAGGGGATAGCACTTTTAAGTTAAGGAATAGCTAAGTGGCCAATTTGGTTAGAATAATGTACACAGGAAGGTGACTAATGTGAAATGAATTTATAAAGACAGTTGTTGAGTTGAATTGTTGGAACTTTCAGTGTCAGGCACAGGAGTTTGTATTTCATATAAAAGACAATGGGCAAACAAGGATTTTTCAGCAGGTGATTAACACTGTTAGATCTGTGCTTTAGTAAAATATTATTCGGCAGTGTATAGAGGATGTATCAGAAGAGGGGAAGAAACTAGAAGCAGGAAGACCATTAGAAAATTGTTACTGTAATTAGGATAAGAGGTAATGGGGGTCTACACTAAGCTGAGTTGAAAGGAACAAATGTGCTAGGTAATTAGAATCAAGGATACTTGGTAACTGATTGTTTATGGTGGTGGTGAGATAACTGGGAGGATAGTGATGCCCTCTACTTACCTTGGAATTTTGAAGGGATCGGGTGGGTTTAGGAAGGAATTCCTTAAAAAGTGAATAATAAAAGTTGAGTTTTGTTTTGGATTCATAGTTTTAAGTACCTATTGAATTTCTGAGTAGACACGTCTAATTGGGGCTTTTGAGGTGGTAAAGGAGGAATGGAATTCAGAAGAGAAAGGAAAGGGGGCTGGATGTGTGGGTGTGAACACACGAGGAATTCGTACACGTTTAGATTTTTTGTAACATTTTATGTTCCTTGCGACACCCCTGTGACTTAGGGTATGTAAGGTTAATTTTGCCATTTCAAACCACGAAACAAACAGATAAGGTGACCTCGAGGAGGTCACAGTGAATTGGAACAGTCAGGGTTCCCAGATCCTCGGTCCCGATGCTCCTCCACAACCTTGGTAGCAGCGCAATGGATTCGATTCCTGAAAGCCCCACGTCGCTGCAACACAAAGACCCCCGCCCGACGCCTTTCCTCACCGCTGCTGACACGGGCACCTCCATCCCGTCAGTCCGACCGCCTCCCCTCCCGCCTACACTTGCGGTAATCTTGTCCCAAGTGTTCCCGTGCAGGCCACCCTCCGGCTCCCAGGAGACATCCCTGGAGCTCTCCGCCGCCATCCATACCCCAGGCTGCTCCCCGCTTTGGTCCAGCAGCCTCTCCCGGAATTCCGGCCGTGCGCCTCTGCCCTAACCCCCAACTTCTTTGTTTAGTGTTTGTGCACGTGTCCTGCCGGTAGACTTTCCCGCTGCCTCGGGGTCCTCGCACACAGCAAGCGCCTTATAAATGCCCGATGAGTTGGGCGGCAGGTCCGGATAGAGAGGGCGGGCTCTGGGGCCCACGAGAAGTCAGTTACCTAAAGTAGCGAAGCATGGTGTAGGCGGATGGCACTGGGATCTAGGTCTCCGGCCCTGGAGATTAAAGAAAAAAAAAAAAACATTGGGAAGCAAAAGGCCGATAACGTTTCCCGCCAGCCGTCTCAGCCCCTCAAGACTAGGTCCCGCCCTCTCGTAAGAACGCACTTCCGGTTTTCCATGGTGATGGTCGTAAATCGATCCCGGAAGTGACTGACGGCCAGAAATTGCTACCGGAAGTGGCTCGGTGAGTCGTAAAAGTGAGGTGCGACACTTCCGGCCGGCTTCTGTCTCTAGCGCGGGGAGGAATCGTGAGCTTTCCGAGGACGTTCTGCGGCTCCGGAGCCATGGAGCTGCCGCTGCCGCCTGACGGTGAGTCTGGGCCCATGCCCTGGGGGCCCCGGCCATGGCTTCCTGTCCCCATTCCTGCCGAGCGCACAACCTCTCGGGCCCCGTCTCTTCCCGGAGCCCCGCCCCCAGCGTTCCCGTTTCCCGTGTGAGCCCCGCCCCCTCTTGCCGCCTCAGTTTCCCCTCTGGGCCAGCGTCATTTTCCCCAGCGCCAGGGATGTCGGGTGGGGGGTTCGGACTCGGACGCGCTTCCCGCGATCATATGTCTCCCCCGCCTTTTCTCTGATCCATCCTCTCCTGCTCGGGCCCCAGACCAGGAGCTGCGGAATGTCATCGACAAGTTGGCCCAGTTCGTGGCCCGCAACGGGCCAGAGTTCGAGAAGATGACGATGGAAAAGCAGAAAGACAACCCCAAATTCTCCTTCCTCTTCGGAGGCGAGTTCTACAACTACTACAAGTGCAAGTTGGCCCTGGAGCAGCAGCAGCGTGAGTGGGTCCAGATATTCTTGGGACCAGCGGGGTTTTGAAACAGTCTCTAGGCTGAATGGGTTATAACAGCCTCCTTCTTTGAATTCAGCGGGTATTTATTAAATATCCGCTATGTGCTCGGTACTGTGTTAGTACCTGGTGCATTACAATACTATTCTCAGTTTAGGAAGAGAAAAAAATGATAATCCTTCCTCTCAAGAAGTTTACATTCTCCTGGGGAATGCAGCCTTGACATACATACGTAAATTAGTAGGGAGAAAGAAAAAACTGAGAAGTGGAAATTAAGAAAGATTTCTTAAAGGAGGTGTCCATGAGCCTCTGAGCTTAGCCTCAAAGGAAGCTAGGAATTTTATGAAACGGAGGTAAGGTGGAAGTGCATCTCAGGCACAGGGTCTTTTAAGTCATTTAATAAGC